TATGATTTATATTCTTCAGTTGTGATTTGTGGTGATACTCTTAGACCGTAAGAGTGTTGATGTTATGTTTGTAGGTATCTAAGACGTACCAAGAACTTTGTTTTGCTGAAAAATTTTCAAGTTTTTATAGATTACCAAGCAGCCATGTGACATGTGCCAGGAATGCAAAAAGAACTATGGTCTCCAGTTTTTAAGAACTTGGAGATAACTAAAAACATTGAATTATCTTGAATCCACTGAATGTGAGTGTTCTGTTCGCTCCTTTATTATTGCATTTTAAAATTAAATTTTATTTTATCCCATTCCCTGCCTCAAGGCCCTTCCCCTTCCTATGTAGTACAGAAGCTTTGTTTCCATTTTTTCCTTCTATTTTCACTTTTTATTCTTGTCCCTTCCTTTCTCCCTCCCTCCTCCTTGTTCTTCACATTTGATCTATTATTTCCTCTTTTGAATTCTTTTTTTTCTTTTTAAGGGATTAGTATTTTTTGTTTTGTTTTGTTTTTGAGACAGGGTCTCGCAGTGTTGTTCAGGCTGGTTTTGAAGTCCCTATATACCTCAGGCTGGCTTTGAACTTGTAGAAATCTTCCTACCTCAGCTTCCTGAGTGCTAGGATTACAGGCATGTACTACCGTGCCCAGTTCTGCACCCATTCTTATTTTTATTCCATGTAATTTTGTTTGTTTGTTTGAGCTCAGGACCTTGGGCTTGCCAGACAGTCCATGAAACCACTGAGCTAAATCCCAGCCCGTCATTCCATGTAATTTTGAAACAAATCAAATCATCACATCATTCATCCATAAATATTTCAATGTGTTTCTGGAAGATGAGGATTAAGGTGTTTTGTTTTGTTTTTCTGCTAGGCATGGTGACACATTGCTGTAATCCCCACACTCCGGAGGTTGAGGCAGGAATGTTGCCACAAGTTTAAAGCCAGCCTGGGCTACATACTGAGTTCAAGGGCAGCCTGAATTACATTGCAAGATCCTGTCTCAAAAAACAAAGCAAAACAGAAGTTTAAGGGTTTTTTGTTTTGTTTTGTTTTTGTACCAGGTATTGAACTCAGGTCCTTGCACTTGTGAGGCAGGCAGCAGAACCACTGAGTCAAATCCCTGGCCCAAGTTTTTAACATGATTATAATGACTTAAAAAGAAATTAATGGGCCAGGGATTTATCTTACCCCCTGCCTTTCAACCACAAGGTCCTGAGTTTGATCCCTGGTACCAAAACAAAACAAATTAATAATAGCTCTTTAATATCATTAACCAGCCAGTGTTCAAATTTCCAATTGTTTTAGCAAAGTCAGTTTTACTAGTTACTTGGCTTAGTAACATCAAGTACTGTACTGCCCATTGTGATCTCTGAAATCTCTTAGTCTGAGTTTCTCCTTCATCTCTTTTTCTGTTTAACTTTTTGAAGAAACCAAATCATTTGTTCTCTGCATTTACTCTTTAGTTCCTGTGGTCTGGATTTGTAGTTCTGTTAGTACCGTTTAGTTTGTTTTGTGTCCTCTATTTTCTATAAATTGGTAGATGGATTCAGGTTTGACCCCCCCCAAGATCACCTTATATCTTCCATCAGAAGGCTGTATTACTTTATTGTGTCTCTTTATGATGTTGGCAGGCATTGATGATCAGTGCCTAGAAATAGTAGTTTGTTAGCAGCTGCAAATATGTCTTTTTGATATTGATAGTATCAGAATGAATGTGTCAAAGTTACTGTTAAGATCAAAGTAATTAAGAACTTTACCTGTAAGCTTGTAAATTTTATTTAAAACTTTTTCTTATGAAGTTGGGTGTGGTGGTGCATGTCTATAATATCACCACTTTGGGAGGCTGAAGCCAGAGGATTATAAATCTGAGCCCAACCTGGGCAATTTAGTGACTGAGACCCTGTCTCAAAAAATTTAAAAAAGGACTGAGGATTTAGCTGACTGCAAAGACCCTGGGTACGTAGATAAATATATCTCCCAGTGCTAAATAAGTAAATAAATATGTAGTGAGAGAAATATAAAGCAAACCATATAGTAAAGCATGTTTTACCACAAGTTTTCAAAGTACATATTTATCAAAAAGTAAGTTTTTGTTGTTTTGCATGTATATGTTGGTTTTATGAAACTGTAGTCTAGGCTAATCTCAAATCTGTGTAGTCTAAGCTAGCTGCAAACCTGTGTAGTTTAATTAATTTATCTATTTTTTTGGTACTGGAGCTTGAACTCTGGTCCTTGCACTTGTGAGGCAGGTGGTGGAACCACTGAGCTAAATCCCTGGTCCCCTGCTGTGTAGTTTAGACTGGCCTTGAACTTTCAGTTTTACCTCATCTTTCCAAGTGCTAGGATTATAGGCATGTACTGCCACTCTGGCTCTGTTACTGTTTAGCAGGGCTGGAGCTTGAACACATGCGCGGCAAGTGCTGTACCGGTGGTCTGTAACCCTGGCTATATAGTCATATCATTTTGTACATATTATTGTCTATTACCTTCTGGAAGCACTTTGTTTTGTTTTGGTTTTTGGTTTTGTTTTTTTGTTTGTTTGTTTGTTTTGGTACTGGGGATCAAACTCGGGAACTTGCCCTGGCGAGGCAGGTGTCGGAATCACTGAGCTAAATACCCAGCCCTTTCACTTTTTTTTTTAATCCCCTTTCCTTTTTCCCTCCAACATTTTCCTTTATACTTTGCTGCATTTTTAGATGTTTCCTTGATCATTTTTCATATTAAAAAAAATTAAATTCTACATCCTAAAATTGTTAATTTGATTCTTGGAATGACTCATCTGTGTTGAAGACTGTCTCTTATTGGTGTTATAAAGTCTTTCATCCCTGATCACCCAGCTGTCTTTTCTGGAGGAGCCAAATGAAGAAAATATATTTTTCTTTCTTATAGAAATGATAACATTTGACATGCTTTTTTCTCTACTGTTTTTCTTATAATTGTATGAATACTGATATTTAATTTGTTTCAAATCCTTTGTTATAGAGTATTATCACATGTACAAGTTAAGTCATAGTCATCATATCTTTTTCTTGTCTATATAGCTCTGGGGAATTTCTCTCTCTCTCTCTCTCTCTCTCTCTCTCTCCTCACCTCTCTT